CGGCCCTCCACCGCGCAGGCCAGGCCAGGCGCTGCTCCGCCCTGTGACCTCTCATCGCGTCTGTCCCCAGCAGACCGTTCCCATCCGCAGGGGTCTCTTGTCCACACGTCCAGGTGTACACACCACATCCCCTCCCCTTCCCACATCGACTGTAACAAGCTCTACCGTGACATTTCACACCTGTCCCCGAAGCAGTGCCGCCCATCCACCCCCGCCCCCTGTTTGCCAACGGGACCCGCGTCGGCCTGTCTCCTTCCCCGTGGCACTGCGCACCGCCTCCATCGCGTTTCAACCAGAGCGACTCCGAGCCCTGCCCTTGCGTCTTCATCCCCGCTACCCTCCGTGTTCGGCCAGCACTTCCTGAAGGGTCTCCTTTGCTCTGTGGAAGGTTGAGGTCAGACAAGCACGGGGCTGGCCAGAGAGGACCCAGCCGCCCCCGAGGGAGGAGACCCAGGAGGTGGCCTCCCTGCCCCGCCGACCCGCCTTGTGAAGACAGGGTGCTTCTGGGGCCTTCAGGCCAGGACCCTGCACATCACCCCAGCAGGTGCCCCTCTACACCCCCCCCACACACACACTGCACGGAGGCAAGTGCAGAGCAGGAGGCCCCAGAGGACAGGATGGCCCGACTCAGCCAGGGGAAGAACCAGGCAGGCGGGGCCAGGGCTGAAATGCCTGCCCGCCAGGGGAAGGGGTGGGCGCCTGGGTGGAGCTTCGGTTTGGGAGAGGATGTGACTGCAAGGCCAGGAAACTACAGGAAAGTTCTAAAATAACACTCACAAAAGCAGGTTCCCTCCAAGCTGGGGGTGCGTCCTGGGGAGCCGTGGTGTTGTGGACACTTGCTGGGGTCCAGCAGAGGGCCTTGCTCCCCAGTGCACACCAGTGACCTCAGTGGTCTACTTCTGGGGGGAGGGGGAGCCGAGAGCCGGAACCGGTGACCGCCTTCACCGCTGCTCCTGGCTTTGTGGCCTGTTCTCGGAGCTGGGCGTGGCCGAGGACCCCCTGAGCATCCCACACGCACGTACCAACATGTGCCAACGCACACGCACGTGAATGTGAAGGCAGCACTGGGAGTACATAGCAGTGTAGCCAGAGGCGTGCGGCAGGAAGGGTGTTGGGTGGAACCCAGGGTGCACACCAGCCAAGGTAAGCCCGGTTTCAGTGCGTGGGTCAGAGGGCTGTGTGCACAGGTTGTGGGGGGGGAGGGTAGCTACCTCAGCTTCTGAGGCTGTGTTTGCGGGGGCTCAAGATCTTGAATCTGGAGAGTTCAGGAATGGCTGCTAGGGCTGGGAAGGTGGCTCAGTGGTAGAGCGCTGGCCTAGCATGCATGAGGCCCTGGGTTCAATGCCTCAGCACCACATACACAGAAAATGCTGGAAGTGGCACTGTGTCTCAAGTGGTAGAGTGCTAGCCTTGAACAAAAGCAGCTCAGGGACAGCGCCCAGGCCTGAGTTCAAGCCCCAGGACTGGCAAAAAAAAACCAAAAAACCCAAAGTGGCTGCAGGGGACCCTGTGGGACCTGGGGGGCTGGAACACAGCTCTATGTTCATGCTGTGTGGGGCCTTTGCACGAGAGGGCGTCTTCTGCACACCTTCCGAGGGCAGTTCTGCTTGACGGGCTTTCCTACAACTGCCCTCCACTCCAAGGGGCTTCTGGACAAGTCCCCTTGCCGATGCCAACAGAAGACACGCTGCAGGCTGAGCCAGTTCCTAGGGCGATTGCTGCCCAGCCACGCCTGGTTTCCTGGCTGGGGGAGCATGGGCGGGGTAGGAGGCTTATCTCTGACGAACCCTCTGGGGCTTTAGTGTGGTGGAGACTTTTTAAAATTCCAGTACTTAGGGTTGAACTCAGCCCTGCCCCTTAGCTTGTTTGCTCAAGGCTGGTGTTCTACCACTTGACCCATACCTCCACCTCTGGCGTTTTGCTAATTGGAGATAAGAGCCTCATGGATTTATCTGCCGCTGGCTGGCTTTGAACCACAGCCCTCAGGTCTTCAGTCTCCTGAATAGCTAGGATCACAGGGGTGAGCCACCGGTTCCAGCCAAGGAGAAGACATCTTGAGCGTTCCTGGGCCTAGAGTCTTGGAACTGACCCCAGGCCACTGCTGCCCACGTATCCCCTCAGTGAGAGGGTGCACCGGGGTCAGGAGACCCCAGGGTCCAGGGGACGGAGGGATAGCTCTCAGCAGCTCCTCCTTGCATCATGTCACTAAGGGGCTTTTAGAGTCAGGTGTGTATGGCTACTGCTGGCAGCTGAGTGGCCCAGGACCTACATAGGGGAGGACAGCCTCTGGTCAGCCCTCAGAGTAGCCTCCATTGCAGCCCAGTTGGTGTTTGCCCCTCCTGGCTCAGGGACTGCAGGCCCCAGCTGACCCGCAGAGTGACCGTAGGTGTGCTGTGTGCCTGTGCACACAGGCACGTGCACTGCATCTAGACCTTCACGGCTGGGAGTGACTTTGAGCTAGAGTCCAGCAGCCAAGTACTGTGAGTCTCCAGGACCTCGCGGGGCAGCAGGCGCTGGGCGCCCGCTTGCGTGCAGCAGTCCTTGGCAGGGATACCAGGGATGAGGCTGTCCCCTCACAAGAGCAGTGTCCACTGCACCCCTGGGTCATCTCTGTGGCCCCAGAGCAAGAAAAAAAAAGTCATCGACTTGAGTTCCTCCTCTTGCCCCCCTCCCCTCCCCGGGCAGTGTGAGGTGGCGCCCACTCTGACTGGGCGGGTGTCTGGCCGCTCACTGAGGCCCCTGGGACTGGCCAGAGCCCATGGCAGCTGCCTGGCATGGTGCCTGCGCTCCTTGTTGTAGGGTTACTGGTTAACTCATCCTGTTCCTGTTTAACTTGTTCCCTGGGGATGGCGGCAGCCTCTGACCTGTCCAGGCACCCTGGCCAACTGACCACAAGGACAGAGAGGGTTTCTGCCCAGCCGCTGGTGGAGCAGTCTGTTTCATTAAGGAGCTCCTGGAGCCGGGGGTGGCCCACCACCAGTGTTCAGCCTGTCCCGGAGAGGCCCCCGGACAGAGCCATGGCAGGTAGGTGGGGCACAGAGGCACAGGCCTCATTCTGTCTCCTGATCCTGGCTCCGGGCCTCACACTCTGCTCTTGCCTGAGTTCTCTGCTCAGAAGCAGGCTTGGGTACAAAGGCCTCTGCTCACTGCTCCTCAGCCTTTGACCCTGAGCCCAGAGGAGGCCGTGAGGCCGTGAGGCCCGCGCCCAGGCACACAGGGTAAAGCCCAGGGGTACAGAGATGAGGGGGTGGATGTGGGCTGAGGGACACCACACTTCTGGAATCTACCCCTCAGGCCCTGGCCAGGGCTCATCACCCGGATCCAAAGCTGAGAAAGGTTGGCCCGCAGTGGGCCTGTGAACAAGGAGGGTCGTGCAACCTCAGGCTCCCAGTTCTACCCAGCCCTCTCAGGGCATTTTTTTCTTGGGGCTTGAACTGATGGTCTTGGCTCTGTCCCTGAGCCTCTCTGTGCTCCAGAGCTAGCACTCTACCACTTGAGCCACAGCACTTCTGGCTTTTTCTGAGTAGTTTATTATAGATAAGAGTCTCACAGGCTTTCCTGCCCAGGCTGGCTTTGAACCTTGATCCTCAGATCTCAGCCTCCTGAGTTGCTAGGATGACAGGCGTGAGCCACCAGCCCCCGGCTCAGTGTATATATTCTTTTAACCTGTTGGTGCCTAAGCTTTCTGCACCTCCCCCATCTGGAGCAAGCCAATCCCAGAGGTGTGGTGTCTGTTCTCCTCTGGGTGGGAAATGTGGTGGCTAAGACTCATGTCTTATGTAAAGAGCATCCAGGGAGCTGGGCATTGGTGGCTCATGCCGGTCATCCTAGCTACTCAGGAGGCTGAGATCTGAGGATAAAAGTTCAAAGCCAGCCCAGGCAGGAAACTTGTGAGACTCTTATCTCTACACTGCCAGAAAACCAGAAGTGGCACTGTGGCTCGAGTGGTAGAGCGCTCACCTTGAGCTGAAGAACTGAGAGACAGTGCTCAGGCCCAGAGTTCAAGCCCCACAACCAACCAAAAAAAAAAAAAAAAAAGCATTCCAGGGTTAATTCAAATATTACTTTGGCCTCTCTGGACCATGTCCTGGGTCACATTCAGGGCAGACAGAACATTTAACAATGGCTGCTGATTGGGGCCTGTCCCCTCGGGACTCGGGGATGGACGTGGTGTGACTACCAATCAGTGTTGCTGGCTGCATTATTTCTTCTGGGTCCCAACCTGCATGTGGCCTGGGAACCCAACATCACGGCATTGCTGATCTGCTCTTCGCTCTGCAGGTGTCTGTGGCAGGGCTCCCGACTTCCTCTCCCCATCTGAAGACCAAGCCCTGGAACATGCTCTGGGCAGTGTAGTTGCTCTGAACTGCACAGCTTGGGTTGTCTCTGGACCCCACTGTCCCCAGCCTTCAGTTCACTGGCTGAAAGATGGGCTTCCTTTACCCAATGGAAGTCACTACAGCCTCCAAGAGGACTTCTGGTAAGAGACTGGGGTGCCTGAGGAGAGCAGGATCGCCCAGACATGCCCATGGCCAGCAGTCTCTGTGACCTACACTCTGGTCATAACCACCTGGACATGGGCTGAACGAAGGTAGCCAGATTGGATATGGGTCGTGTCCCTGCGGACACAGTGACGGTAGGGCCAGATCTCCTGGGGCTTCAAGACCCTGTGGATGCTTGCTTTAAGGATTCCCAGGACTATGAGCAATGGCCAGGCCTGAGATCAGAGGACCCCAAGATCCAGGGCCAGGTGGTGGCTGTGAGGCCGCCTTGCCATTGGCCGGTACTGGCCACTTAACTCTCGGCCCGAGAGTCACCCAGGAAGCCCATACCGTCCCTGCCTAGGATTCACCCACCTTCCAGTCAGGAGGGGCTCAGGCATCCACGGAGGCCCCAGAGCCTCCTAAGGGTTGAGCTTATTTCCCCAGGGTCAAGGCCAACTTCTCAGAGGTGCTTGTATCCAGTGTCCTGGGGGTCAACCTGACCAGCGCTGAAGCCTACGGGGCCTTTGCCTGCTCTGTCCACAACACCAGCTCCTTCTCCTTCACTCTGTGGAAAGCTGGTGAGGGGCGCATGGGGTGAAGGTGGGGACAGCAGGGACCTGGCGCTGAGGGTCAGTAACCGGAGCTCGTCCTGTCGGCAGGCCCGGCCGGCCATGTGGCCGCAGTTGTGGCTTCCCTCCTCGTCCTGCTGGCTCTGCTGCTGCTGGCCCTGCTCTACCTGAAGTGTCGCCTCAACGTGCTGCTTTGGTACCAAGACTGTCACGGGGAGGTGGAGATGAATGGTACACAGGGGCGGGGGGAGGGGAGGAGGAGAGGGAGGGGAAGATGAATGGTACGGGGGAGGAGGGAGGGGAGGAGGGGGAGATGAATGGTACACAGGGGAGGGCGGAGGGGGAAGGGGGACATGAATGGTACAGGGGGGTGGGGGGGAGGGTGGAGGGGAGGAGGTGGAGATGAATGGTTCACGGGGGGAGGGGGCATCCCAGGCGGCCTGGCGGGGGAGATCCTGGCAGGGAGGAGCCAGGGCCCTGTCTGAGGGGTGCCCGGGGCTGGGGGGCAGGAGCAAGAACCTCGCCAGGGAGGTGCGAGGGGTCGGGGCCGAGGCGCCGTCCAGGCCACACACAGGCCCGGCCACTCTCCGCAGATGGGAAGCTCTACGACGCCTACGTGTCCTACAGCGACTGCCCGGAGGACCGCAAGTTCGTCCACTTCATTCTGAAGCCGCAGCTGGAGAGGCGGCGGGGCTACAAGCTCTTCCTGGACGACCGCGACCTCCTGCCCCGCGCGGGTGAGACTCGGCCCCCAGCGCCCCGGCCCGGCCCCCCGGCCCCGCCGCCTGGGCTGCAGGCCCGCCCCTGGCCCCTCCCCACCCAGCCCCGCCCACACCACCTTGGCTGCAGGCTTACCCTTGGCCCCGCCCACACTGCCTGGGCTGCAGGCCCGCCCCTGTCTCTGCCCACCCCTTGCCCCGCCCCATCACCTGGACTGCAGACCTGGCCCCGCCCACACCCAGCCCGCCCCCATTACCTGGGCTGCAAGCCGGCGCTGGCCCCGCCCACACCCCACCTCCCCCCCCTTCCTCACGGCCCCACCCTCTCACCTGGGCTGCAGGCCCACCCCATTGCCGCCAGCCCCGCCCACAGCCCCGCCCCTCCCCAGCTCCCACCCTGCCCTCCTTTGCAGGTCCCGCCCTCATCACCTAGCTGCCGGCCCGCCCTAGCTCCGGCCCCGCCCCTCCCCAGCTCCCACCCTGCCCTCCTTTGCAGGCCCCGCCCTCATCACCTAGCTGCCGGCCCGCCCTAGCTCCGGCCCCGCCCATGGCCCCGCCCCTCCCCGGCTCCCACCCTGCCCTCCTTTGCAGGCCCCGCCCTCATCACCTAGCTGCCGGCCCGCCCTAGCTCCGGCCCCGCCCACGGCCCCGCCCCTCCCCGGCTCCCACCCTGCCCTCCTTTGCAGGCCCCGCCCTCGTCACCTAGCTGCCCTAGCTCCGGCCCCGCCCACGGCCCCGCCCCTGGCGGCCGGGCTTGTTCTTCGGGTGCCGCCCCGTCACCCCTCTCGCCCTGCTCCGCAGAGCCCTCGGCCGACCTCCTGGTAAACCTGAGCCGCTGCCGACGCCTCATCGTCGTGCTTTCCGACGCCTTCCTGGGCCAAGCCTGGTGCAGCCACAGCTTCCGGTACTGGGTGGGGGAGTGGTGGGGGGCAGGGGCCG